CCCGCAGGTTGCGAACCTCCCCCTCTTATTGGGGTGGGGGTTCTGTTTCAGCCCCCGGGCTTGCACCCCTTTTTATTGGTGAGGGTCCTAACAGAGCTCCCGCTGGGAGTTGGGAGGAGGGCTATGGGGCTGCGCATTTGAAAACAGGTTGGCTTCCCGGGAGAGGGGCGTGGGGGATGGGGGGCACAGTGGCCTTGGTGGCCGCAGGGCTGGGGCTGTTTCACCGAGAGCGTGAGGCCTGGGCACAGTGACCTAGTGCGGGACCGTTATTTGTTCTTTTCACTTGCGAAATGCTCCCCGCCCCCCCTCTCCTCCAGCCTCCGACTGCACGATGAAGGTCAGCTGCAAGGAATCCACACCTTTGTGAGCGCCCTGGCAGGGGCTCTGACAGCCCTCCTGGGGCCCCCACCGGCTGCACCTTAAAACCAGGTCAGGACCTCGTGATGCACAAAGCCAGTGTCCCCAAGAGAAAGTGCCTGCTTCTGGCTTCTTGGGATAAACATGGGACTAATAGGACAGTTTATGTGTGGAGTTTGCTAGGCTACTAGTGTAGCACCCAGTTATCAGGCACGAATCCAGGTGCGGATGGGATGGTGTTTTGTCAGCTGGTTGTCAGCTACAGGTGATTGACTTTACGTAGATGACCCTGGACAAAGTGGGTGGGCCTCATCCAATCAGCTGAAGGTCTTCAGAGTAAAATCTGAGGTTTCCCAGAAAACAAAACATTCTGCCTCAAGACTGCAGCATTGACTTCTGCCCGAGTTTGCAGTCTGTTGCCCTGACCTACAAATTTCAGACTTGCCAGCCCCTACTATTTCTTTAAATTCATTTCTTATATAAAATAAATACCTCTATCTCTATTTATATTTATATCATCTACAGTGGGGCCTTGACTTACGAGTTTAATTCGTTCCATGATGGAACTCGTAACTCAAATTACTCGTATGTCAAATCAACAGTGAACGAGTGAGACACGTGATGCTGGGCTGATGTTGTGGCGTTCACTGTGACGTTCGCTGCGCCAACTAGCGGTGGGGTATCTGAAGCTGGCTCGTAACCCGAATTTTAGCTCACAACTCAAAACAAAAAATTGGCCGAGAGACAGCTCATATCTCGAAAAACTCATTAGTCGGGACACTCGTAAGTCAAGGCCCCACTGTATATTGTTTATAGGCATTATTGATTCGTCTCTCTGGAGAACCGTGCAGATCTTGTGCTGAATTTGAATTGTTCTCTGTTGTGTCAGTAACTTCAGGGAGGATGACTGCTTTTCTTATTTCCTGAGGCCACTGTGCTAGGCACATGGTGGGAACATGATAAATGTTCACTGAAGTGATGGAAACCCACAGAAGCCCCATCATGCTTTTCTCATCTTTAAACCAAGTGGATCCCTTTGCTCCTCCTGTCCACACAGGACTGACTGGTCAGCCTTCTTTGGAGCCCAGCTCTTCTCAGAACCTTCTCTTCATGCTGGTTACTATGGCTGCCTCATGGCTCTTGGCCTTTAAACCACACTATGGGAAAAACCACACCTTCCTGCGGAGTCCAAGCATGCAACATGCTCTGGCCTCCTCTCACCTGTACATGGGAGTCTACTGTGCTTTTCTTGCCTGGCATCTTCAGATGATGCGCTCCCTTTCTCATCAGGTGGTGGACTCTCGGGGGAAATTCTAGGCTCTGATGCTGTGGAGTATTCATGGGTTTTGGAATCAGCAGACCTGGTTTGAGTCCTGGTTGTCATACATGCTTTGAGAACCTGAGGAAGTCATGTAACTGTCACAAGCCTTCCTTATTAGTAAAATTGGGGGGAATGACTCATAGAAAAATGTGAGGAATAAATAAAGCAGATAGTCATAAATTTTATTTAAACAGCAGTACAACATGCACGATTCCCCTAATTAAATGCTCTGTGGAACTGCGAAATACAAGGCAGATAAGGTGAGAACTACAGTACTCTGGCTCTGAGGAGACCCTCCTCCTGTAAGCTGGAACTTGTCCTCCACCCTGTTCTCACACAGCCTCCAGCAGTTCTTCTTCTGTCTCCTGTAGAAACATGCAGCAGTTCTCTAGGACCATGCCTGCCAGCCTGAAAACATGCTGGAATAATCTTCAAGCCAAACAACCAGCCCAGACGATCATCCTTCACCCTACACCAAGCATGTCAAACTCGCAGCCCACGGGCCACATGTGGCCCACAATGAATATTTTTGCGGCACAGTCAATGTAATGGTATGCAAGAAACATTTTAATAAAAATTTCGTAACTTAATTTTTACAATATCCTGATATACATAATCTTAACTAATAATAGACAAACATGTAAATTAACTGTCCCTCCGCTATGCTCACCAGCCAATCAGGAGAGTATGCAAATTAACCCAACAAAGATGGTGGTTAATTTGCATAGGTAGGGGCAAAGCGGCAGAGCGAAGACTGAAGGCTCCGTCCAGAGCAAAGGCTTGGGTCCCGGGTGCCGGAGGAAAACCGGTGCCAGCAGCCAGGGGAAGGGAAGGCCTATTGCATGAATCTCTTTGTGCAATGGGCCTCTAGTTATTAATAATGAACTACAGTGTTCGCTAATGACTGATTACTATCATCATGTTGCATTCATTTCCCTTATGCACCTTATGCGTAGGCGCACCATTTCTCTCCTCTAATACTAGCAGCGAATATTTTAGCAGCCGATGGCCATGCCATTAGTCTTGGACTGCCTTGTTTGGTGTGCAGAACAGGAAATATTTCACTTTTGGAGAACAAAGAAAAATAGGTTTATTTGTATTACACTTATTAATTTGTGCAGTTACTCAGTGTCTGGTAAGTTAACCCTTTGAGTGCCAACCAATATCCTAGGAACTATGCTAAAATTGCCAAGGCATTTTTGCTGATTTTGCAGCAGTTTAGGAAAAAAATTATGAATCGCAAGTAAATGAAGTTACATATTCAAAAACTTAAGGAAACGTTTACTACATTTGTTTTTATCTTTGACATATATTGTTTGCTGATTGTATTATAAAATACTAGTAGAAAAAAAATTTGAACAAAACATATAATGTTAAAATAGAGG